ACCAGCAATCGTCTATCACCTGAACGAAGATCTCGTGATGGCACATGCCACACCAAGAGACTACGTAAATACTCTGGACATTCACGGATGCCCAGCATATAAAGATACGTGCAAGAAATGTGGTCGCATTGGCCACTGAGCTAGGAAATGCCGCAGCAAGAAACCAATAGCCCGAAAAAGCCGCAGTCCATCACCACGACGGAGCAACCCGCGTCGCAGATCTCCCGGTAGGGACAGAAGAGGGCGCCACCACACCGACAATATACAAGTCTTAGATGACGAAAATCCCATTGAATTGACATACAGACGAATGAGCAAGGTAATGGCCTATACACACTTATTGCAGTGGTTCTCCCAGAGAAGACTGGCCAGCATCGTCATCGATTGAAAGTAGATTCGGGGGCCGAAGGAAATACACTACCACTTCAAACATTACGCAAGATGTACCCATTTGGATGGAGAGCTATGATTCAACCAACAACTGCCAAACTTACAGCTTATAATAGCACACCAATATCATGTGTGGGACACATTAACATAGTATGTCGATATATAAAGGATCCGAAGTGGACAACTCACAAGTTCTACATAGTCGATGTATCCAGTCCAGCAATATTAGGCTCTCTAGCCAACTTGGCATAGTCACAGTGAACCAGATTACTGCTGAGAACACACACTGCATCCAACCAACCCTAACAATTGAAGATCTGAGGAATCAATACCCAGAATGTTTTGAAAAAATTTGAAGTTTCAAAGGATTTGCGAAAATTCACTTAAAGGAGGATGCACAACCATGCATTGATGCACCAAGAAAGTGCAGTGTGCACATCAAACCTAAACTCAAGGAGAATCTAGACAAAATGGTACAACAAGGAATAATCAGAAAAGTGGACCATTATACCGATTGGTGCAATAGCATAACTACTAGCCTAAAGAAGGATGGGTCGTTACGAATATGACTGGACCCTAAGAAACTAAACCAAGCAGTTAAAAGATGTCCTCACAAGATACCAACTCTTGAAGAACTGACCCCCCAATTTACAAATGCAAGGTACTTCTCAAAGTTGGATGCCAAATCCGGATATTGGTCAGTACATTTAGACACTCCCTCACAGGAGCTGACAACTTTCAGAACACCATTTGGACGTTATTGTTACAACCGTCTTCCTTTGGGACTTGCAATAAGCCAAGATATTTTCCACCAACACATGAACCGTATACTAGAGAAGGTTCCTGGTTGCCTGGGCATTGCCGATGATGTTGCCGTATATGGGAGTACCAAGGCAGAGCATGATCAACGCTTGCATAAGTTGTTAACAGTAGCAAGGTCAGAAGGACTTGTGTTCAACAGTAAAAAATGCATCATTAGAGCATCCGAGATAAATTATTTTGGATCAATTTACTCGGACAGTGGCGTCCGTCCTGACCCAGCAAAGATCGAAGATATACAAGCAATGCCTACCCCTCAAGAAAAGGATGACCTGCACAGATTTCTTGGTATGATTAGCTATCTATCCTCATATATACCAAACCTTGCAGAATGTGCACAACCACTACGGGAACTACTCAAAAAGAATGTTCCATTCCAGTGGCAGGATGATCATAAAGATATCTTTAACTGTATAAAGCACTCTGTATCATCAAGTTCATGCCTCCAATACTTCGACCCTACCAAAGAAACCACAGTAGAAGTAGATGCATCGCAGAAAGGGCTTGGAGCCTGCTTGGTCCAGGATGGTAAACCTATTGCATTTGGGTCTAAAACGTGACATCTACTCAAAGTAACTATGCCAACATCGAGCGTGAGACACTTGTGATGGTATATGGTGACACCCGTTTTCACACATACCTGTTTGGGCATCACTTTCGAGTTGTGACTGACCACAAACCTCTGGAAATGATATGGCGAAAGCCAATTCAGTGTGCTCCACCCCGTTTTCAACGACTTCTTGTCAAACTACAAGGGTATGAGTTTGATGTTGTTTACCGTAAAGGTACAGACATGGTGATGGCTGACGTCTTGAGTAGATTGCCAAATCCTGCAAAAACATCAGAAATCTCTCTCGACATTGGTGTCGAAGAACTTCAGATACACCTTGTTAATTTTGGGACAACAAAACAAACAGAACTCAAATCCCAAACACAAACGGACAGCACCCTTAGAGTATTGATGCAAATCATTCAAGAAGGTTGGCCAGACCGGGTAAGTGAACTCCCCACAGACATACGCCCATATTGGATCTTCAGAGATGAGCTAGGTATAGCCGACGGGATAATATTTAAAGGCAGACAAGTTGTTTAACCACTATGCAAGACATATTGACACAACTGCACCAAGGACACTTGGGTATTGAAAAGACAAGGCGACTTGCCAGAGAATCAGTCTATTGGCCCGGGGTTACTAAAGATATTGACCACACAATAAAGACATGTAATGCTTGTCAGGAACTGCAGCATCAGCACCAAAAACTACCATTGCAACCCCATGACATTCCATCTTCACCATGGACTAAGCTTGGAACGGACTTATTCACCCAGGATGGAAAAGACTATCTGACTATAACGTACTATCATTCAAAGTTCCCAATATTATACAAACTGAACAGCACAAAGAGTGCAATGGTCACAGCAACCACCGCATCTCGGTTCAGCATAATGGGACCACCACGCGAAATCATTTCTGACAATGGCCCACAATATACCAGCAAACCGTTCTAGCAGATGTGCAATAAATGGGGCATTAAGCAAACAACGTCATCGCCAAGATATCCCAGATCAAATGGGCTAGCCGAACGAATGGTACAAACAGTGAAAGCAACACTCAAAAAGTGCATCGCTAACAATGATGACATCAATTTGGCATTACTACACATAAGAGCAACGACGACAGATTGCAAATTACCGTCTCCGGCTGAAATGTTATTTGGAAGACCAATACGGACCAATCTTCCCAGCTACCATCCAACAAATGCACCACCAGAAAATCATGAGCGCCTGTTAGAGCGCAGTGACAAAATGAAAAGCAATCATGACAGACATGCTGGCAAAGATATTCCACCACTACATTTGAATCAACGAGTGCGCACATACAATGCAGAAAAACCCCAAACTGCCAATTAGTATATTAAATTAAAACAAAAAAATACATAAAATAAAATAAAAATAAAGGAAAAAAATAACTGTAGTACAAGTGTAGAGTGCGTTCAAATGGAACCACTGGAAATTGCTCACACTCTTTTGTAACAGAGCATCTGTAAGATTGTAAGTCATAATGTTTAGTGTTACTGTGTTTTAATAAAATAAAATACATAAAAAAAAATAAATAAATAGATAAAACCATAAAAGAAACACACCCATATTGCAAGCAGAAATCCAATACTGAATCATTTCTCAGCATATTTAATGAATGTTATATGGCAGTTGTCTAAATACCATGTTTTTATTTCAAAGAAAGGAGGAAAGCGTATTAGCTTTCAAAGAGAGGGGGATGTTGTATGTATAGATATCCACTATAGCGCCACCTGTTGGTCGCTGCCTGTACGACATGTTGGACTGAATAAACATGGCCATGCATGCCAAGATTACCAATTGAGTAAGCCTGGACATTGTTCATTGTACGTCCATTATATGTTAGGAACATATAACACATACTGCAGCAGAGGTCGTTCTCGATATATACCAAGATACTTGGTATTAGTTATTTCCTCTAGAATGGTGCTCATTAGGTATAAATATGAAACATGAAAACTAAGGGTGACTGTAATGGGTAATAGCATTGGTAAACTCAAAATAATGGAGGATTTTAAGGATGGGGGTGTGGTAATTAAGAAACAAGTTAGTATCTTTGGTTTGGTTTGTGTTTGGTTTGACTGATAAATGTGTCCGAACATACTCAATATCCATTACACTTCATTTTGGAAGTGCATCAACACTGGCATCAATCGCAAATCCCATTTATTTCCAGCTAACATGTACGCTGAAATGCAAGTTAACATTCTTGGATTTAGGCATGGATTACAGAGATTTTAACTCTGTCAATGCATTTGTGGGGTTATCTCACTACAGTAATTCTCAGGCCAGCCAATTGCCAACAACTTGGATATAAGTTGAAAAGTTTTCATATTACAGTTGTTGCATTTGTAGAAAAAGCTAGAAGAATCAATTAGCTTGTTGGATGCATTCAAGAATGGTACCCTACCAGAGGGAATAACAAACCAACAACTATGGCAGGCACAGAAAATAAAACAGGTATGGTGCTTCATTGTAATAATACTGATGTTATAATATCTTCAGGTTGTATAGGCATTAAAGTTGCGTATGTAACAAGAAATAAACAAAACAAAAACATTCTCCCAGCTTGGTTTTCAGTTCAGGATAAAAATTATGGCATTTAAATTTTTTATAGGCAATTATTCATCCTGATACTGGAGAGAAAATATTAATGCCATTTAGAATGTCAGGTAAGAAATATTGTATGGTAAATATTGCTTTTATAAACATTTTATATTATAATACAGTTTTGTTTTTATTTTGTATTTTTATTACATGCTTTTCATTTTTA